ATCATGATGCTCTTGCCCACTCCTCAAAGCTAAATGATAGCCACACTTGTATACCATTGTGTCCACTAACAATTGTGGTGATGAATCTGCTAGAACCCCATTTGACCACATAAGGTCTTCCTCTCTTGTCTATTGGCTCTGCTCTCTTAACTGTAACTCCCATTCCTTTGGCTTTTAATTGCTTCATTTCTCCATCAAGTTCTCTTCTAAATGTGTCAAACTCAGGTTGTGTATAGAAATTGATAGAAGGTAAATATAACCTTACATGCCTCATGATACCGCTAGAAATTTGATAGAGACTGTTGGGTGGGTACTCTGCACCATCTTTACAATGTACTTCTAATATGAACTTCCACATCCAGTCATTTAGAGTGGGTGCATTCAGCACAAGATTTGACACAGTGCGCAACTCCTCAATTCTGTCTATTTGCTGACATTCTTTCCGTAGATTCAAAGTCCAATGAGTTGCTTGCTCTGTTGTCTTTGGTACCAATTTTTTTGCTGCTTAATCAACAGCATCTCCTTAAAAACCCTGCTAATTTTCTGTCTGGGAGAGAGCTCAATAAGGGATCCCAGGCTGCCAGGGGTAGATAGCCTTGAACTTGAGGGACCAAGCGAGCAGCCTCTGAGAGAGTTGAAGTGCTTCCAGAGCGAGCAGGTTGTGAATGAACTTGTACCTCTCATCCACGAGGTTGGCAGCAACTGTGGAAGGAAGAAAGGGAGACAGTTATGACAGCACAACTCATAGGCCCAACCTCAGTCTATGGGACATAGCAGGTAAAAGACTAAACTCAACTATGAATACTTATTCCAACCCTTGACTATTATATAGGCGGTAGCCTATATGTAGGATTGAGGTTGATTTTTTAAGATGGCGTCCGTTTTTATGATTTTCAAACACTTATATTTCTTTTATCTTACGTTGTACAGCCTTATAAATGGCTTAGATGAGCTCTCCTTCACTGAGCGATTCTCCTGGTACCTTTAAAGTGAACTGTAGTGTAGCGGGAGCATTTCTGGAAAACAGGCCCAAATTCAAATTTCTACAAAATTCTTTAGACTTTTTCTTCTTCTTCTTCTTTCATCTTTCTTCTATACACAGGATAATCTCTTAAACTAGAGAACAGCTCAAGTTGCCTTTTACATCACTCCTCTGGGCTTGGGTCAAGGACCACAAAGGTAGTTTCAAAAAGAAGCGAGGACAGACAACAAAATGGAAGACAAAATCCAGCTGCAGCCACCGCGTGGGTTTGTGGTTTGACGCCATTTTAATTTATGCGCACGTGATTAGCATAAATATAATTAACCTAACCACAGAATCATAACAGAATATAATTTCTTGATTTAAGAAAAAAGAATGGAAACAAGTAAATAAAAAAACATAAAA